TAAACAGCATGAAATTATTTATCTGCATGCTGTGAACAGTTTATTAGTAAATGTGTAAATATTATTATAGTGATCAACTATTTTAAATAACTTCTTACCTTATCGTAGTAATTATCAAGAAATGTATTGTTTAGAATGTTGGATGGATAACTGATCTTGTCTATAATTGCATCAACCTGTGTCAAAAGAGACAAAAAATACAAATATGTATTAATTTAAAATATAGGTTTAGGTTTAAACACGGATCAACATCATGGCACAAGTGTAGTAACCCATAAGTGCTCCGTTCTGCTTCTGGCTGAAGAATGAATCTGAAAAATCTTGGTACAATGCACAAACTCCGTAGCATTGGTGAGGATCCTGAAATATTTTGGGTAGATTTTTAACTCAAAATTTTGCCTGGGCAGAACCATTAGGCTACTCTTTTTTTATTTCCAACTGCTAAGGGATTTTGTACATGTGCAACAATACACAATAATATAAAATTATGAAAATATAAATATTAAATGAACAAACATACACTATGCTTTTTTTGTGTCTAAATCACGGCAACGTGTGATTTTCATCTTCTTTTATCATAATCATCAGCTTCTGGAACAGTTTGCAGTCCAACACTTGAGTTGATAGCACTGACCATTGTCATTCCTTGTAACAAAGAATTTCTTTAATGTCATCAGTATATATTCTTCTTGAGTGCCCTTTTGCTTTCACATCAGATCTTTTCAGGTGTATATTGCCTGAACGTTATAATTGTTGTGGCTGGTTCCAAGAGGACTGAATCCTTTGCTCTTCTGCTTCTCAATTAATTTGGTGCAAGTTGTTGTTCCCCCAGTATTTATGAAATTATCGTTTATCATCTGGTCTGAAGTCATTAATTTGGTGACTTTCTTCAAAGGTCATTTTTTTTTTAAATAACAAATTCTTTGTACTGATTTTATCAAATGAAGAAAAATTAATTTTTAATCCAGAATTATAATAAAATCAACCTTTAGAACAATAACAATATTTATTTCAATTATTATGAAGCTGCTTTAATACTAAGCAGCAGCACCATATACTTTTTACATAGCCCATACACTGGATATGTATATTACTTCTTTCTGTCACAGTTAATGTATAGTAGGACTCAGTCAGAATATGTAAGTAAAAGTAAAGGACCATTTTCCACGCCTTCAGGTGTATTGGGCATATAGGGCTAGACCTGCAATTTGGAGACCAACTGGAACTCGTGGGTGATGTGGTCAGCAGCATGCTGGCCATTTTCACTTCCCAGGACTATACTCCGTACCCACACAAGGCTGGGTTGACCTGGGAGCCAAGGTCACTTTAAAAAAAAAAAGTCCTGTGTGACAGAATAGGTTAACTGTAAATGTCTGGAACAGAATAAATCAAAAAGAGACTGTATGATAGAAGGAGCTCAATCAATGACTGACTCACTTTCTACCCCACCAGGACATCACACAAGCGATAAACACCCGATGACAACAAAGTGCCACCATGTGGATGAGGATCGCCATAGAGAGGTCCCAGAAACCGCGTTTAGGCAACTGGCCATATTTATGGCCTGCCTATATTGCGGCCCCTGGCAAAAGCCAGGGTGGGGCTTTAAACAACCAAAAATTTTGTCCTAAAAAGAACAAAACTGGGTTATGTTATGCAATCTCAATCAATGACCAGGACTGACATTAATCTAATAACCTTCCAGGGAGGAAATGTAATATACAAGGTCCGACAATTAAGTAATGAGACTGATTCCATAACAATTAAAATATTCAACTTTTGAAGATATAACCTGTATCTGATTCAAAGTAAGCCTCTTGTGCATTGATACAGCAAGTGGCACGATCTAACAAACACTGGAACAACCTTTGTAGTTCTTCTATTGTTATGGCCCCTAAAGTCGATGTTATGGCCCTTTGGATGTCATCAATATTGTTAAAGAAGCGTCCTTTCAATCGTAACTTTAATTTTGGTAAAAGAAAATAATCACAGAGAGACAAATCTGGGGATTAGGGTGGAAGGCTGAGAACACACACTTGTTTTGGGGCCAAAAATTCTTGTTTGGATGATATCTCTTGGGTACTCAACCCGCTGATATTTTAGTCATCAAACAACAAATGTGGTACAAACCAGCAAGCAACTTTTTTGTTGCCAAAATCTTGCACTAAATATTCATAATCCAGTTTCGTCCTTTTCAGGACGAAATTTTTTGTCATTTGAAGCCCTACTCTGGCTTTTGCCAGGGGCCGCAATATAGGCAGGCCATAAATATGGCCAAATGTCTGAACGCGGTTTCTGGGACCTCTCCACGGCGATCCTCATCCGCATGGTGGCACTTTGTGTCATCGGGTGTTTATCGCTTGTGTGATGTCCTGGTGGGGTAGAAATTCATTCATTCATTCATTGCACTAAATTATTATCAACTGTCTCTCTATTAACACCAGATTCATCTGCTATCATCCTCACAGTAAAACAATGATCTTCTTGTATCCGTTCTCTGACTTTTGCAAAGAGTTCATTATTACGAACAGAAATTTTACGTCCAGGTCTAGGTGCATTAGTAATCATTTCCACACCACTTTTAAATTGTGAATACCACCTGAAAATCTGTGCACGAGATAAACAATTATCCCCTCATTAACTCTTTCAGTGGCGCTTTTTCTGAGTTTTATAAAGAATTTAATATTAGCTTTTTTGCTCCGTGATGATTATGTAACAAAGCACCTCTGACAAGGTCAACAAAATGGCGGCCTGTTTGTTGTCTGCTTATCGAGCAGCTATGAAAAGCTGCCAGATCATAGACGAATGTTTCCTCTTTAGATTCCATGCTTTGCTTCATAGATGACATTTTTGTCTTGGTTATAATAAAATCAGTCTCATTACTTAATTGTTGGACCATGTATTTTAAAATGTCAAACATATTTTTAATCCTTTTTTTTAATCAGTAACCTGATGTTGACAAATATAAAAAGGACTTATACTTACTTTTTCTTCAGCTCTCTTTCTGGTACCTTTATCCATCCAATATTTGTTCAGCAAGTAGTCTTTGAATGCATTTTTTACATAAGTAATGAGTCTTTCCATCTGCACAATGAATAATACTCTGTTAATTAAGTCTTTCAGTTTGTTATAGTAAACATTACATTAAATAAATATTTATTTAGTATTTTTATCTTTGCAAAATTTATAAAGATTTTAGTAATTAAGTAGCTAATGTTTTTGCATGCACATAATGAATACAGACTGGGTTATAACATGTGCCATCGATACCTCTTTCTCTCTTGTTCTAACCCACCAGATCACAAAAGCGATAAACACCTGGTGACACAAAGTGGCACCATGCAGACGAGGATCACCTGTGGAGAGATCCCAGAAACCCCTTTCAGCCGTTATGACCATATTTATGGCCCGGCTAAATTTAGGGCCGCCAGCAAAAGCCAGGGTGAGGCTTCAAATAACGAAAAATTACATCCCACAAGGGAACGACTTATGTAAGGCACACTCATCGATACCTTCTCACTGCCAATTCTGGATCTCTTGGTCAGAAGTAAATATAGCAGACATGTTACTAGACAGACATAAAAAATGTTTCTGTTTATTGCTAATTTTGCTCATGTTGTTAGCATCTAATATTCAGAAGTAAAAGTATGTGGCATGATGTCACCACATCACTGACCAGGTGCCACTTGGTCTACAAATGTATTTGCAGTAACATATCCATTACATCCAAGGTGCAAAATGAATCCTTCTCTTTCACAAAGTACTAAGCATATATGGTGGGATGAAGATAATAAAGCTCAGTGTTATTTTAATTGCAAAAGAAAAGTCACATGTGTCTGGTTTTCTCAAGCAGAAGTAAACTGGATAATAATTTGACAATTATTATCAATTATTATTATTATTTGGTGTCTGAAAAGAAATAAATTAAACACAAATGTTGACAACAATGGTCCTGATATCCCATGTCATCATTGTGGAAGACTTTTCTTGATATGGGCTGGTCTTGCTAGTCACACTCGCCATCGTCATGGGCTGTGAGTCTCATGCCTCCTCATAGCGCAATATAACACTATCGTTTGGAAAGACGGAAAGGTGCCAATGGGTAATTTGACAAGCAACGAGGGAGAAAACAACTTTGAAAAAGAAATGAGAAAGTTATGGAAGCTTGTAAAAAAATTAACAATGAGGGTACAGGGTAGAACTCAAAGATCACACTGCAGAAAGATAATGGGTAGAAAGAAATATGAAAGAGAATGTTCTGTAACAGAGACTTGTAAACTAACAAGATTTACTCTTTTAGTTCTAGATATGTGTTTCTTTAGACTTCCTAAACAGTAGTTTGACCTTGACTTCTTGGTCAGTACAGCCTTGAGTGGGTACCAGGTGCAGTCCTGGGAAGTAAAGGCAGCTGGCATGATGCTGACCACATCACCCACCAAGTGCTGATTGGTCTATAAAAATATAGGTATAGCCCTATACGCCTAAAGACGTGGAAAGGGACCTTTAAAAAGTACTTGCTTTAACTCTTTGAGTCCCAGGGGGTTTAGCATCACAGGCCCAAGGGGTAGTGAAGGAAGACATAAAATCGGCGCATCATACGTTCATTAGGCTTCTAGGTAGAAACCTATGAACGTATGATGTGTTCCTTGGGACTCAAAGAGTTAAGTAATTATGACTGGCTCTAAAAAGGCTAAAATAAAAGCACAATGAGACAAAGGGAGCTAAAGTAACAATTGGGATAGAATGGGTTAAAGCTACAGCTAGACAGAGAACAAGGTCCTCAGAAAGGCACATCATGTAAGGCAGCTCTAAAACATGCATGGTGAGCACTTGGTACTGAAAGAGCTAAGACTGGATCCTTTTGTTTACATAACATAACATTGCTCATTCCAGTTACTGAGTGTGTCCGTACATAGAAATTGTTTTATAAACTAGATAGGGCAAAGACATCTTACCTTTTCAACACTGTTTTCTGAATCTGTACCTTTGACAAACAAGGCACCAGTTGAAAACCCCAGAGCTTTGTTTGTATAAAATGTGCACCGCTTCCATGCTTCCTCCATTACATCCTCCTCTGTCAATGAAAATAATGTATATTTTCTTTATTAGACTTTCTTTTAATGAAACTGTAATTAAAAATTATATTACCAATGCTGGATAACTGGACACCTCTGAGGTGCCTTTGCCATTAGCAAGTGTGCTACAGGAAAGCTCACAGGGTGTAGTGGGTAGACGCTAGCCTGTGAATCAGAAGGTCGTTTGTTCAGGTCCTGCACCTTTTTCAAAAAATGACCTTCGCTCCCAGGTCGACCCAGGCTTGAGGGGGTACCAGGTATAAACCTGGGAAGTAAAGGCAGCTAGCCTGATGTTGACCATATCACACACTGAGTGCCAATTGCTCTATAAAATATAGGTCTAGTTTTATATGCCCAATATGCTTGAAGGCGTGGAAAAGGGTCCAGAAGAAGAAGAAGTGTACTACAGGGTAGAATATTTACTTACCCTAGCAACTTGAAAGGTTGCTAAAGGTTGAGAAAGTAGTCTAAGGCTGTGTGGATGTGGAAAACAAAGGAAACTACAACATTATTAATCCCAAAGTATCACAGCAGGCTGGAGATTCTTTCTGATAGTCTGCGCTGATAATAACTGTATGCCATTGACTTGCTACATGACAATGAACATGATGGTTTCTGATGACAAGTTTGAGAGTTTGAGGTCAGTTACCCAAACAGTTGCCTATTGTGTATAAAGTTGGAATTGTAACCAATTCTTTGCCATCCCACTCACGATATGTTTATTTCTTAGTTCAGAGACTGCACAATTTCATTGATCCTTACCCGCACAGGTCTGCTGGTGTAGTCACTAGTGCTGGAAATTATTTTTTTAGATGTTAAACAAGTGGGGTATGGAAAGTGAGAAGCAACAACAAAATTCATAATCTGTTTAAATCACCACTGATCATTGGCATCATGAGAGCTAATAGGTTGAAATAGCTAGGACATGTTGAGAGAATGTCAGATGACTGAGAGGTAAAGACTGTATACACAAGAGAGATGAATGGTCATAAACCATGAGGCAGACCAAGAAGACGATGGAGAGATAATGTCCAGAGAGATCTGCAAACACTTGGTGTTATCAACTGAAAAGAGAAGACCAACCAGAGAGATGAATGGAGGCGGGTGATATTTGCAGCAATGAACCTCAAGGGCTCAGAATGCTGAAGAAGAAGAGCTATCCCAAGCTAACTGGGATTTGTCCTGTTAATGTACCTTTTACTTACTTACTTAGTCGCTCCTCTTCTACCTTGGGGTGTAGAGGTTTACCAGAGAGATCGCCAGACGTCTCTATCAGCAGTTTTCTTTCTGGCTTTGTTCCATTCCAGTCCTCTGTCAGTCAGGGACTGTCGGATGTTGTCTTCCCAGCGCACTCTGGGTCGTCCCGGAGGTCTGGTTCCCTGGTTCTTAGCCTCCCATGCTTGCCATGGTAGCCGATTTTCTCCCATTCTGCACACATGTCCAAACCATCGTAACTGTGACTGATCCACTCGGGTTTGTAAGGACTGGGTATCAAGATCTTGACGTATTGTCTGATTGCGGACTTTGTCCCTTCTTGTCACTTGGACCACCTTTCTCAGGTATCTCATTTCCGAGGCCTGCAGCTGGCTTCTGTGAGCTGTTGTCATCTGTTAATGTACCACCAGATTGAAATTTGTTTTGATAGCAGTCCATAGGAGAAAACAAAAACTGAAAGGAAAAAGGAGAGAGACAGTATGCTTTTCAAACTCTTCTATAACAGACCAGTGGTACGTTAACTCATTATACTGTAAAACCTTGTTAGGAATGAAAACCAAGTTTGTGTACAAGTGCTCATGCTATCTATGCACAAATTCATTGAGAGACAGAAGGTAAAATGGTCATGTTCTTAGAATGCAGCCAGAACACATGAGAAGGTCTGATGTGAAAGTAAAAATGCTTCTACATCGACCTGGAATGACAATAGCTAGTGCTACCCGTCAAACAATCACACACTGTTCCTCCCCATGACACTTAATGGCAAAAGTCGAAATTGATAGTGATGATGATGACTGAAAGAGTTAATTTACTCTTCAATAGGTGACCACCTCTTTCCTTCTGGGGAGATTACAATTCACTTCCACACTTAATGAGAGTGATATTCTAGCCTACCTCCCCAAGACATCCACTCCATCTAGGATTTCAGAACGGGACAGAAAATACTCCCATTGATTAACTGCTCCACTAAACAACTGAACCTGATGCAATCAGCATGGCCTTATAAATCAATAAACACATAAAATAGTCCTTGGGGATATAACCAGGCAAATTTATTATTGCATTATGAGTTAACAAAAAAAAAAGGAAATAAAACGTATGCAGAGAGAGGACATGTCATGAAGTTGAATAATTGTACTGACCTGTATCTTTGGTTTGAAATAATGATTTATCAAAGTATGGCATGAAAGAGTGAATGAAGCTAATGGCCAGATAATCCTGCAGGATTCTGAAAATAGAAAATTAAGACACATTATTCTGAAAATAGAAAATTAAGACACATTTCTGCACAACAGCTTCTCAGGATAATATAATAGGAGATGAAAAACTATGACATTAAACTTCACAGCAGTAAATAATTACTGAAACTACAACTGAGAATGCAATTTTTTTTTCCAATGAAAGATTCCAACTATGCTAAAAGAAGAAAAATAATGTGTATTATTGATTGGGATGAAAAAAAATCAGATCTTTAAAGAATTCCAGGTTAGTTGCGTATCCTTTAAAGGACGTTGCAGAACCAATCACAGCAGCCACTGGGTGATGTGTGGTTTCTCTAAGCAAATTTATGTCCAGTAGTTTACCATTGCTTCTGGACGGTCGGCCCCCTGATGCCACTGTCGAAACCAATGCAAGGCGCATGGCCCGCAGCTGGGATCGAACTCGGCTCCCCGGCATTACGAAGCTTTCACATTGACTTAGCCACAGAGCCGACACTTTAAAGAATACTCAATCAATTAATCAGGAGATGCTTTACAGAACGTCACAATCATCTGACATGCCTAATAGTCTTTCTTATCTAACCAATTCTCCAACCCCATGAGCTTTCATAGCCAAGGCATCTTTAATGTATTCTATCCACATTTGCTGAGATTGGGTTCTTCTTCTTTTCCCAGAAATTGCATGCTCTGCCACTCTCTAGTGCACCATGGTGCTTGATGTGGCCAAAATACCTCAGCTTTCAGGAAAAGATGCTGTTTATGAGCAAATTCGCCTTTATATTCATGTCATATAAAGAAAACTACTAACTAAATATATTATGTATAGCTAATGGAAGACAATGAAAAGGATAAATAGACCCAGAATACTTAACAAAAGAACCTATTAGACAATATCTAAGTCTGAGTTGTTGAGTTGAGTTGAGTCAAGAAGTTTCATCACAGTACTCAGGGCATTTCCACGCATGCTCCGTCCTCATCTTCAGCAGTCAGCGCAGAGTTCCAATACTGATGGTACCGGTCACAATCTGGTTATATATCCTTCTTGCCTTTCCTCTGAGTGTAGTGAGCTGGCAAGACCTTCTGGTTACACCCAGATGCCTGATTCTCTCTAGGCCATAATAATCTTCTATCTCAATTTATTCCGTTGTTTGTTCTGCTTTGTCATGTATCAATTCACCACCCAGTGGTGCAGATTCAGCCAATCTGTCTCTCTGTTCATTACCCACCATGCCGGCATAGCCTAGAGAAAAGATCCAAAGTATGCTCACTACCCATGACTTTTCCAGTGAAGCTTGCCACTCTGCTCAAAGCATCCCTGTCATCACCTTTCTCAGCATGCTTTCAGAGTTAATAAGTATGAAAATTTCTGTATAGAAGATTAAACTGAATAGATACTACATTGGGTAGATCAAAATTGTGTGTAAGACTTGACCATGAAAAAATATACACTCTAAACACATTTCTTTTTTCGAAGTTATCAGCTTTCATTAGCACATTCTGATTAAAAATTTGTCTAATAGACTGCATAATAAAAAAAAAATCAGACAAGGTCTAAGATTATGCATGCATAACCAGTGAATGCTGTTTTAACTGCAGATTATGACCCTAACCTCATTTTTGTTTCTGATTTATAATATTCCTTCAAAAACTGTGATATCCTGAGCATGTAGTCCGGGTGCATGATTACCACTTCTGTATCATCTGTCACTTGGAAGCCCAGAGATGTAAAATACTTCAGCCATGTTATCTGTTCAACAACAAAAAATGTTAGTTTTACTTGTTAACTGCAAGCAACTGTGTGACAACAAAACAAATTATTCACATTTTAATTCATTATTTAATGTGTTCAGTCCCAGATATTTTTTTTTTTCAATACCTTCTTTATGAAGCAGTTGCTGTATTAATTAATTAATCACTGTTTGGATCTGAAGGGGTCTATCTATCTATCTTCTTTTACCCCACCAGGACATCACACAAGCGATAAACACCCGATGACACAAAGTACCACCATGTGGATGAGGATCACCCGTGGAGAGGTCCCAGAAACGGCGTTCAGCCATTAGACCATATTTGTGGCCGGGCTATATTGCGGCCCCAGGCAAGAGCCAGAGTAGTGCTTCAAATAACAAAAAATTGCATCTGACAAGGAGATGACTAGTGATTACCGTGATCTGAAGGGGTTCCAGTGACCACACTATGGTATAATAGGAATTGAAATAACAAATGGGATATAACAGATTTATTATGTAATGGATGGCACCTGTGAGTAACAAATATTAACAGAACAATATCAGTTTCATAAAAATATCAGATGACAAGACAACAGGTGAGAATCATGTACAAAATGTTTGCACATGATGATGTACCTAATAATATGGAACTTCAGTCAGAATCACAATGCACATGTTGAAACTGAAGTTAGGTTCTGTAGTCCAAATGAGAAGTGAGTGCATGTTTCATTGTACATGAAATTATAGGTTATCTTAATTTCATTTGTTATGGAATCTACAGAAAACTGGGTAAAACTTGCTTGGTTAACAAATATGAATGTCATTTTTAAAGCTGCTTTTACTGCAATATCAGCCATTAATGGGTACCAGGTGGAGCCCTGGGAAGTAGATGTGGCAGGCATGGTGCTGACCACAACACCCACCAAGTGCTGGTTGGTCTATAAAATATAGCTTTAGCCTAATATGCCCACTACACTTGAAAGCGTGGAAAGGGCCCTTTACTTACTTACTTTACTGCAGTATATATGTTTGTGACGACCTCGGCCTCTTTTAAAATTAAAAAGTGTTGGTAACATAACCAAGTGTCTTTAAAAAAGGTGCCTTACTTATCCCAAAGTTTCTATTAGAGTAGTGTTAAAAAAAAATGAAATTTTATAGAAGGTTCTGATATGTGAACCATTTTGAGTGCAGTAGCGCAAAAAATACACCAGGTAAAGTCCTAGAAAGTAAAAACAGCTGGCGTCACATTAACTACGTCACCCACTGAGTGCCGATTGATCTAGCTTTATATGCCCAATATGCCTGAAGGCGTGGAGAAGGGTCCAGAAGAAGAAGAAGAAGATGTGTACTACAGGGTAGGATATTTACTTACCCTAGCAACTTGAAAGGTTGCTAAAGGTTGAGAAAGTAGTCTAAGGCTGTGTGGATGTGGAAAACAAAGAAAACTACTATATTAGTGACCCCAAAAGTATCACAGCAGGCAGGGAATTCTTTCTGATTAAAAAAGGCAAACAAAAAACAACTGTGGTTTAGACTAATTATGAACTTTAACGGAGAGGGGGGAAATAAACACTACTTACTGCTGGGAAGCTGTTCTGCAGTAAAGAAACGGTCATCACATTGTATAAGCTGAACCTGTCGTGGATATGATGGTAGCCTGCTGACGCCTGAATGTAAAAGAATCAATATGGTTTAGACAAACAACTTTAACTCTTGTATTTAAAATATCCCAGTATCTACTATGGCAGCCACCCTGGTCAAGCGGCTAGACGCTCGCCTGCGTATCGAAAGGTCATGAGTTTGGGTCCTGATAGGAGCCGGACTTTTTTTTTTTAAAATCACTTTGGCTCCAAGGTCGACCCAGCCTTGAGTAGCTACCAGGTACAGTCCTGAGAAGTAAAGGCGGCCTGAGTTATGCTGACCACATCACCGAACAAGTGTCATTCGATCTATTAAATATAGGTTCAGTACTATATACCCAATGCGTCTGAAGATGTGAAAAATTGTTCTATACTTAACAATATCTGCTATGTTAATTCCATGCAATCTATGTTTGTGAACTAAAGTGAGGAAAATTGTTTTTATGAACTATATAGAAAAATCCTGATACATGGAAGTGAATCAAGGACAGTGCGCTGTTTATTGAAAAGTTATGTTGATGCCGCAAACATGTGATTTTATTGACCCATGATGAGAACACTAGGAATAGTTAAAATGTGTAATGAAGATTTCTTGAAGGTAAATAACTTCTGGTTACCAAAATCAGAAGGAGATAACAGATTACCCTCGTCAGAAGGAGACAATCTACATTCCTTTGGTCACATAATGAGAAGGAAAAACTGGAATATATTGTGAGGGTTACTGGGGAAAAGAGAAGCAAAGAAAGACCAGGAGAAATGTTGTACAGTTTAACATCATGGCATGAAAAATCATCTGTATCAAAAATGACTGAAAGTACACTAGACATCAGGTTGTAGAAATACATAATTACTAACGGCTCATAGAACAGAAAAAGAAGAAGAAGATCTAATTGTCATAATATCTTTTATTACAGCAGTCATGATTGTACAGATGGGAGTGAATTCTTTCATCAGTAAGCATTGGGTATCAATTTCCAGTATGGAAATGTTCTATCCAGTTACTGATAAGTCGTACTTCAACATGACTTCATTAATATGTAAAAGAGAGAATTAAAGATAAATAGCACTGGAGCTAATCGCACGACATAATAATAAAACAACAGTATGGTAGTATGAACTATGAGGTCACTTTTTAGTTTTCTTATCATATTTAGTTCTTCTTCTTCTTTCTTTTGTTGTCTCACTGATACCAGGCTGTAGCCCAGTGTTATGGTTTGTGTGTGTGTGTGTGTGTACTTCTTGTGTGGCTTGGGTGATAGATTTGTTCAATTTGTTTGCAGGTTTCATTGACACCATTTGTCCATGTCTTTGTTGATCTATCTCTCGCCTTTCTGCTAGATGTTCTACTAGAAAAAGTCTCCTACGCAATCTGGTCTGGCTGCATTCTCACATGGCTAAACTATTTCATTCTTTATATGTCAGTATAATCCAGACATGGTCTTATTCCAACTTTCTCTCTAATGATGGTATTCATAACTAGGTCTCATCTAGTCTTGTTAGTGACCTTGCGGGGACAGCACATTTCACATGTAGTTATGTTCCGTTCTAATGCCTTATTCATTGTCATAATCAGTTAACACTTAATTATTTTAATTTCTTGACATTGAGGTTTGTATAAAAATGTCCTTGTTCAATCTTCCAAATAAAGGGGCAGTCATTTCAGTCAATTATTTAAAAAAAATGTTTATTTAGGTTGCTGAATAGCCATGGTTTTCTTGTTGTGAAACCATTTCTGAAATGAAGATCTGTCCCCTCAAGTGAAATGCATGATTTTCATTGAAGTTTTTGTTTGTAGTAATCTTCATCATGTTGCAGGCTCTTTGCAGAACCTTACTTCTGTCACTGCTTACCTGAAAGAAACTTGATCCCCCACCAGCTTTCTTGCTCTATGCACTCTCCTGTTCAAGAAGTCTTGTATTTCTTGTGCCCACTTTTGTTCCGCTCTGTCCCTCCTCTTTTTCTTCTTTATCCAGTACCATAAAGTGAAGTCAAGGACCCTTTTCCATGCCTTTAGTAGTATTGGGAATATAGGGCTAGACCTTTATTTTTATAGACAAAATGGCACTTGGTGGGTGATGTGGTCGGCATCATACCAGCCGCCTTTACTTCTCAGGAGTGCACCTGGTACCCACTCAAGGCTGGATCCACTTGGAGCCAAGGTCATAAAAAAAAAGTCTGGCCCCCATCAGGAACCAAACCCATGACTTTCTGATCCGCAAGCGAGTGTCTAGCCGCTAGACCACAGTGACTCACTTATCCTGTACCATGCTTTTCTTTTTATTTCCTTCCAAGCCCATTCAACATCTAAAAGCCCAGAATCTTGCAGTTAGGAGAAAGATGCTGATTATGAGCACATTTTCCTCAATGTTCAAATCTCTTAGAATATCAGATTTTCTTCTTCTTGCCCTTATCACTTCTATTTTCACTAGTTAATGCTGGTCTCTTGTATGTATAAATTAATTTCTGAACATGCTGGCAATACAAATTCCTGACTTAAAAATCACTCACTGATGCCAGAAACTTTTCCAGGTCAAGCATTCTTTCAGCTTTGGAAACGGCTTCCTCTTCTGTAGCACCAAATGATGTGAAAATGTGAACTGTCTCATCCAGAAAAATCTTTTTTAACTGTGAACACATTACATCATTAATGTTTTATGACTTCATTATTGGGGGGGGGGAAAAAAAAAAATTAAAGTTACAGCCAGGTGAGCAGTAGCAAGGTAGAGGCCATGTGGGAGACTCAGGTTCCAATCCTTAGTAAGGCCAAATATATTTTTTTCTGTAGGTGGGTTGGGGTTGATTGCACTTAGCCAGGTGGCTCTAAATCCTCGGGCTCAAAGATATCTTAACCTCCCCTTTCCCATCTTTACTGTCTACACCTTAAAACTGGTAAATACAGGAAGTCTTCCTCTTATTCTTTGCATTCACTGGCTGTAAACTCTGGCAGTCAGTTCCTATTGCTAATCCCCTTCTGGAAATTTTGTCTTGTTCCAAAAATTTAGTTTTGCATGCACATTCGTTTCACAGATCTGGCTTATTTGTATACAGACTGTTGGTTTGCTCACCTCTCAGGCTTTGACACCTTTAATTAGTCGACTCCTATAGCAGGCTTGTTAGAGGGGAGTGGGTCTATTCCCCCCTCTCCTCCCACAAATTTGAGCCCCAGAACCCACACAGGGAAATACAGTTATGGCTTGGTACACAATTTATTTAGAAAATCAATGTCCTTATGATATTGGGGATAGTTGATCAATGAAAATTACATCATAGACAATGTGTTGGGATCATGACAAAGCTGGTTTTTTTTTGTTTTTTTCAGAAATGACCTTGGCTCCCAGGTCCACTCAGCCTGGAATGGGTACGAAGTCTGCGAAGTA